TAAAGGGCAACACAGATGAGCAGTTCAGTTTTGAAACTTACACATTGAATTTATTACATACTTTTTAGTGAAGATCTGAAATGTTATGTGCATGCCTGTTTTCTGTTCTTTGTATAGCATGGGCTCAAGACAGGTTCATTGTCCTTGTACTGATAGGCTGGGTGCCCAGAAGTCCACTACATGCAGTTTCCCTCCGAATTCTAGGAAACCCTGAGGAGCTGGGGATGTTTTGCTGGTATTACAGCTCATAGACTTCCATGGGTGTGATTCTCTCATTGATTATCAACTGGTATTAATTAGCTAGCTAAACTAAGATTTTTAAAAATGGATATTTACCAAGGTAGTATAATAAAAATAGTTGGCACAAAATATCCCCCCTCACCCTTCACCAAGAGTCGGAGATGCTCTTTCCTACAAGTCCTTGCAGAGTCCGAGGGTTAGTCAGCTTCAGCTTAGAACATATGATATGGAAAAGGGGAAGCTCAGAGCTCCTAGGACTCCTTTCACCCACTGTTCTCCTTCATGGGACCTACATGAAGTCGTATGCTGGGCTCCTTGGACTCCTCACCCTGACTTTCCCTTCTCGTTAGCTTGAATCTCCAATCCAGTAGACACTGTCAACTCTGATCTTGGCACTCAATTGGAGGTTTGCCCCAAATCCTCCAAACTGAGCCTGAAAGTGTCTAGGGGGCCCAAAGATAGAACTATGGGCAGAGCTCAGCTTGAATGGACAAAGTCCTGAGCTGTCAATTTATTGCCCTAGTAATATACAGTGATTACAATGCTTCCACTTGTAGTCTTGCATAATAATCATGGCTATATTGATATTTTACACAAGTAATAGTAGATTACATTGTTTAAGTGTTTCTACTAGGCACATTGAGGAGGCTAGGCTTTTGGGACAACTTGTCGGCAGCTCGCCAGTGCAAGAGTTGATTCAAGTTAATATTATATCATTATGTATTAAATGACAATGTATCTTTTGTTGAATAATCATTGTATACTTTATTGAAGTGACTTCAATGAAGTACAGCTGCCTTGAAAAGTATTGCCTAGATATGTAATGAAATAACATTGGTAGACTGAACAGCCACCATATCAACTCAGGTGTTGAAGAGCTAGTTTAGGAGTCATGAGTGGATTACAGATGAATGAACCTTGAGCCATGTTTACATAATTTGTTGTTTAGGCATTTTAGTTGTATCCAACTCTTCATGACCCCATTTGAGGTTTCCTTGGCATGGATCCTGAAGGGGTTTGCCATTTCCTTCTCCTGTTCATTTTACAGATGAGGAAACTGAGGCAAACGGGATTAAGTGACTTGCCCAGGGTCACACAGCTAATATATGTCTGAGGCCAGATTTGAACTCAGGTCTTCCTAACTCCAAGCCCAGCACTCTATGTACTACATCACTTAGCTGCCCTATTTACATAATTAGTGTTATACAAAAAGTCACTTTGAACCTCAAGGCATTTAGAGAATGCAAAGAGGTAAAGGGCAGGAGGGAGCCAGTGTGCATGCTTATGATGTTGATTTTTAGAACCCAAGTTTAAGACTTTACATTTATTCCTATTAAATTTCAACTTACTAGACTCAGCCCCATCATTCTAGCCTGTTGATACTTTTTTTTTGGATCCTGATTCTGTCATTCAGTATGTTAGCTATTCTTCCCAACTCTGCATCATCTACATGTAGCCAGGGCCCAGAGCTCTGAGCTCTCATGGATGTGATCTAATCTTAGGCGTCACCCTAAAAGATCCCTTTCTCTTTGACTCATATCATCCCTGCCCAGAGTTTATTCTCAGAAATCTGCATAGACAGTTCATGCCTAGATTTCCACTGATGTAAGTGATAGGGTCCTCAGTACTGCTACAAGCTTTCAAGATATTAAATGCATTATCAGATTCGGGACAGCCTTAAATAAAATGTACAAAATGCAAAGGACTCACAGAAGCCCATAAATAAATGTAGAAAACACACAAAGGATTTGCAGTAGGGGACAGCTAGGTGGCGCAGTGGATGGAGCATGGGCCCTGGAATCAGGAGGATCTGAGTTCAAATTCGACCCCTGGTGTGTCCCACCTTTCCACACAGTTCTCCTCAGGCTCCTACTACCACTGTGTAGTTTGGACTCTTCCCAGAAAAGAAATACACTTTAGGGGAAGCTAAGTAGGCAATACCCCACTACTACAATAAGTCTCTGTTGTATTTCATAGACTCGTCTTGAGGGCTTGTCCTCCTCAGGAACAGAAACCCCAGTAACTCACACTAAGAGAGAGTAAAATCCATGTTTCCCCATGTCATCCTTTTAACCCTCTGCCACACTTGGGCCAAATGGACAATCTTTTTTCAAAGTAGTACAGTGCTTAGGAAATTGCCCTTCCTTGAAGGCCAGGACCTAAATTTTTGGTCTTCAGAAGCTATTCAGAAGCCATTAACCTCCAAGGTTAATGATGCCTGAGAAATATCTATTCTCTCTCCCTTAAAAACTAGATTCCAGTAGCAAGCTGCATAGGAAATCTCTCTGAGGGGTATCCTGGGAGGCTAGATTCCTGGTTTCCCCAAATTTGGGTTCTCTTGTAAGGCAACCCTAAATCTATATTTGCCCAAGAAATCTCCCACCTCTGGCCAAATCTGTGAGTGCCTAGATTCTGCCTACTTTGGCTAAAAGGCCAGATGCAAGTACTGTCTAACTTAAAAGGATTTCTTGTAAATCATCTCCAAAATTAACATTATTGAAAAAGTTCTCCTACCCCATGCAAAAGCACATGCTTCCTTCTGCCATGGCACAAAGCTGCCATTAACAACCCCTTGGGAGCTGAACTATTAGGCTATCTCTCCAAGGACAGCAGAAGGGAAAAAGGCAAAAAGCAGTCTAACGTGGTCTTTCATCTCTCTAATAGTCCGGAGTAAAGGACTTGGCTCCTCCCAAAATAATTCATCAAATAAAAATGAGACCCAACTAATTTATCTTGGTGACAGCTCTAATCAGTGAAAATCAGCTTCCAGAAGGCTCCAAGGATGGTTCCAAACCAACCAGTTCATCTTGGGGTAGCCCCATTCACTGAAACCCAAGCAGATATCTCTAAATGAGGTACCAGTAGACATGTCCACCCTGTGTAAGGAAATGAAATCAAAAGTTCCAAAGACTTACCTCCCTATAAACTCATCAGGCTGATTGAAGAACACCCCTGATCAACCCAGTTGTTTGCAAATCTAGTAAGTATACTACCCAAGCCTTTATGTAAGTCATTGATAAAAGGAAGTATAAATAGCACAAGACAAGTACAGATCACTAAGGCATTCAACTAGAGACCTCCTTCCAAGGTGACACTGATCATCATTGACCACTCTTGAGTTCAGCCATTCAGCCAGTTCTGAATCCTCTTAACTATGTCTAGTCCTTCCTTATCTCTATCGTATCCATAAGAATAATATAAGGAACTTTGGTCAAACATGTAGTGGAAAGTTAGAGGATTGAGTTTGAAATCTTTTGCCATTTGCTACCTGTGCACTTTGCTAAAATCTAGCCAAACTATCTATAGCGTTCACCAGAGCTGCTGGTGTATATTTCTGGACATGGATAATGCAGGAACTTGTTTTGCTTGATGATGCATATTGTTACAAGGGTTTTCTTTCCTTTTTCTGACTGGGGGTGAGTGGGAGGGAGAGAATATAAGTACTGGTTAACTAGAAACTCAAGTAAACTTAGTTTTTGAAAAAAGTGTTCTGGAATTTTGCCATAAATACAAGTGAAACTCATATGCTTATAGGTTGTAATCTCCATTCTTCATTACTGGTTTCCTTTTTTTTTTTTAATCAAGACAACCTTTGTCCTTCTCTAGGTCTGCAACACCTCTTTTCCTCCATAATCTTTCAAAGAGCAAAGCAAACAATGACTCAGCAATCCTATCCACATTTCTTTCAGTGTCTTGGGATGTAGTTCATTGGGAACTGGTGATTTGAATTAATCAGACAGGAATGAAAGCAGAAAAAATGGGGAATGAATTTTTGAAGAGCAGAGGAGAGTTGAAGGAGTTCCCTTTCTTTTTTAGTTCAGTTTTCTTAAGGAAAGAAAAGGCTAAGCCACCTGTGATTAAGAGTGGGGGGAGTAAGTAGAGGTTAATGCTTACTACAGGCCCGGCACATACTAGGCTCTACATCGTGCATATTTCCATCCCTTTCCTTCCATAGGAAGTCAAAGGTTTGAGGACAATGGAAAAGGTTTGGGATAGTCATTGTGGAGAATGGCATGGAGAACCAATAAGGATAAAGTATCACCTTAAAGGCAGAATCCGCATTTTAACAATCTTTTTATCCCATTCAATACCTACCATAGTCCCTTGCACATAGTAGGCACTCAGTGAATGAATGTAGCACTACCTTATCAATGAAATATCCTCTAACTGCTGCAGCTCTTGTGATCTGCTCCACTTTTTCTATCAATTCCTGTATTATTTGTAACATCTACTACATAATTTAGCATTTAATTACAAACTGTCATATCTGATTCCCAACTCGATTGTAAGACCTTTAAGGACAGAGACATTGTCTTTTCCTCCTTTGCAGTCCTCCACAACATCTAGTACAAATTAGGTGCTCAATAGATTGATTTTTCCCTTATTTTTTTTCCTTATAACTTTTCTTTATGACTTTTTTACATCAGAATTAATTTCCAATATACCCACCCACTGATTGCTCCCTTGTAATGAGGTAAAGTTTGAGCAAAAGCCAGGAAACAAAGCAACTGTATCTTAACAAATACATATTGGTTTACTGGCCAAAATTTTTCCCACCTGCACATTGCTGGGTATATAGTAGATCTTAGAAAAAGATATGTTGATTAATTGGTGAATATGGGAAGCTTCACAAATTTTTAAAAATGGTCCTTTGTCTCCTTAAGTCACATATTCAACCAGTGTTTTGATTTAAGTATTTTCTATTACCTTATGTGGGAGAACTAGAAAATGAACCTGGAAATTGTTTCTCTCTCTTGCAGAGTGTTCCATCCTGGGCACTGACATTGAACTTCAGGTCATCGAAAATGACACTGTGAGCATAGAGAGTTTCTTCAAAGCTTGGCTGCAAGACAGTGGGACAGACCAAGAGCATCTCCACCTCCTTCTTCCTTCACGGTGTTTCAGCAGCTTCTCCAGTGCCAGATCAGAACCAAGTACAGTACCCCCAATACACACACAGGAAAGGCTACAATAGGAATAGGGCAGGATTCAGGGTGGGAGGTATAAGAGAAAGGCTAGCAAATGGCATGGCTGGGGATGGGAGATTCTAGTGCATCAAAAAATCTGATTATTAGTAGAGTTGCTATGTATCACCTACATGGCTTCCCAATTTAAAAAGCTTTATGAAGAAAATAATCAAAGAATGAAAAATACTCCATGAGCCATAAAGTGCTATATAGATGAGTTATTATACAGCAAAATATTAATTATTTTAATTAAATTTAATTAAACAATGCTGAACATAATTTCACTTTGTTATATTTATAATGTGGGTCACAAGCTGATAGGGCTTCGGAAGCACCATTCTGAATCTCAGTCTGCACCATACTGGTGAAGCACAGGCAAGACAGAGCATAACGATTTCCAGTTACTGGACTGTGACCAGACATCGGTAGATTTTGTGGAATAACAAGTGGCTTTATATCTAGTGAATGACATCAGTGTACTGTGGCACAGACAGGTGGATCTTGAAGGGCCTCCTCCCCTCTAAGCTTCAGCTGGAAGATTTCTTCTGCTAACAGCAGAGCATCTTGAGGAAGTCTGGCCTTGTCTTGCTGACTACTTCATGTTTTAGCAGAGAGAGGAAGCAACAAAGGGAACTACTTCTCTGGACTTAATTCTGAGCAACAAGGAAGTTGGTGATATGGAAATGACAGGAACTGTTTAGGCAGTGGCCAAGCATGGAAGCAGACAGAGCCCGAAGCTTCTTTTGGGTCCTTTTCTCCCTGACCACTCTCTGCTCTGTGCCTGGCACCCTGGCTAGAATCCCCTAGTTAAGATTCCCAGGCTTTACCCCATGGCAGCCTGCTCCCTGTTCCCCCTTGATTTCCCGGGCTGATTGCAGTAATGACCCTACTCCAAATTGGGTCCCTTTCCATAATGGCCCCTGATAATCCTACCAGTACAACCCAAGAATGCAGAGAAGAGGAAACAACCATGTCATCTTAGAGTTAAGAATTGCCAGAAAAGGGAATACTGTACATTGCTAGATTTGTACCTTGAACTTTCAGAGAGCAGGTTTCAAAGAGTTCAGAGAAAGGATAAGATCACATGGCCAGAGACTCTCAAAGAAAATGCCTCTGGGAAAGATAGGCTCTCAGAAACAAAATTCTAATAATAAAATCACAAATTGTAGAGACAGCATGGTATGGTGGATAGAGAACCACCCTTTGAAGTCAGGAAGACATTGGTGCAAGTCCCAACTCCACTCCTTATTGGCCATGTGACTCTAACCAAGTCATTTAAGCTCTCAATCTCCTGAGAAGATGCCTCTCAACATTGATGAAAGGAATATCCTCCCTGGAAGTCTTCTGCATCCATGAATCACAGGTTTAGTCCTATTCCATCCCAGATTAGGGGGAAAGGAGGAGTTGTCTAAAGATAAAGCTATGGAGTCACAGAAAGTTCTTTGGTTGGCTCATTTAGAAATACATGCACAAAAATCAGAAAGATGAATAAAAGAAATGGGATGAACCTACAAGAACACTGTCAAGAAGAATAAAACCTAGAATGAACCAAGGCTGCAAAAAAAGGAATAAGAAAAAAGGCAGACGGCACAAAAACCTTGAGCTGTGTTCAGAAGGGGAAGAACAAAGAAGGGTAGGACTACTTTTTTTCTTTAATTTTAATATATAATATTTTATTTTTCCAAAACAATTTTTTAACATTTAATTTTTTTTAAGTTTTGAGTTCCAAATTCTGTCACTCCCTCTCCTCCCCAAGATGGTGAGCAGATACAGGTTATACATGTACAGTTATGTTAAACATGTCCGTATTAGTCATTTTTTACAAGAAGACTCAAATTTTTTAAAAAAGAATGAAGGAAAGTGAAAAATAGCATGTTTCAGTCTGTATTCAGACAATATCAGTTCTTTCTCTGGAGGTGGATAGTTCTTCAATATTAGTCCTTTGGGACTAATTGTCTTGGATCATTATATTGCTGAGCATAGCTAAATCATTCACTGTTCTTCATCATTCAGTATTGCTGTTACTGTGTACAATGTTTTTTTGGTTCTACTCACTTCACGCATCAGTTTGTGTAAGTCTTTCTAGGTTTTTTCTGAAATCATCCTACTCGTCATTTCTTATAGCATAATAATATTCTGTCACAGTCATATACCACAGCTTGTTTAGCCATTCTCTAATTGATGGGCATCCCTTTAATTTCCAGTTGTTAGGGGTAGGACTACTTCTAATGCCAGATGATAAAATGGTAACAGACCACAAAGAGAAAAAAAGGATTCCCTGACTCTGGTTTTTTGTTTTGTTTTGTTTTAGCTTTTTTCGGGAGGTCTTCTCTATGATAGTCAATGATTATCACACTGGAAAGGAAGAAGAGACATAGTTAGGAAACCATTTCCTGTTCTACCCCCTCCTGTACCTGAACTTATTCCTCCTGCCTATCTCTCTGCTCACCATTTTCACCATGCAGTGTTCTGTTCTGAGCAGATTTTTCTATGTTATCTACATTTTCCACAAATATTCATTCCATCTTCTGGCCAAAATGAAATCTTAAGTTCCTTTGATGACAAAAATATGTCAAGGAGACTACCAGTCTCTACAGACCAAAGCAACAGAGATACATCTGAGAATTCTGGGTCTCTCAGAAAAATACATAGAAGCTAACAGCCTGAAGGTTATATAAAGAAACTGCCCAGATGTATTGAAAATGTAGAGAACAATTTAGAGAATAAATCTATTAAAATCTATAGGCTGCCAACATAGAGCATTTAACAAAAACATAATTATCAGATTTCAGAGCTTAGCAATCAATCAGTCTTGAAAGTAGCGGATAGGAAGTGAACTACAGATCAGCAAACACCTATTCAAATGGTGCAAAGACAAGAACGAAAGAAGAGGCCAGAATTTGGCATGATGAAAAGCAAGGGAAATCAGTCTATAAAATTGACAATCCTGGAAAAGTAAGGCTATTCCAACATGGGGAAAGGTGATTCTTTTGTAATGTCATAAACTTCAGTCATTTCCCAATGAGATATCCAGAACCAGGCAGAACCTTTGACATAAAAATTGGTGAAACAGAAGAAAAATAAACGAAATAATCTAGAATTGAATGCAAAGAAGGATTAAGTGTTAACATTCTTAAGGAACTAATAAGTGTTTTTATAATGTTTAAGTCAAAACTGGCATAAAGGTCACTGAAAAAACAAAGGCTAAGAATTTAAGGAAAGAATCTCTTGAAAAGAGAACAGAATTTGAACATCAGCAAGACTAAAGGGAAAGTGTTGGGAGAAATTAAATAATTTTTCTTGAAATTAAGTGCCACAAGTGAAGGTTAATCAGACAGAGATAGTAAGTGAGGGAGTGAAAGTGATTCTTAAACTACATTCTTATATGGTATACCTAGGGAAAAATAAATGATAAATACTTTTAAGATTACATCAGTAAAAGGAGAATCCCAGAATCTAGCTTTGGTGTGGGCAAGAAGAGAAGGGAGTCAAGTGGAGCTTAATCATAAAATTAGAATGTTACAAGTAGATATTCATTTTACATGGTTTGGACATAAAAGGGTGACATCTTAAACAAATTAGTGGAACATGGAAGAAATTACCTAAAAGATCTATAGACAGGGGGAGAGTTCATGACCACATAAGAGAGAGAGATGTACACAGGAGAGAAAATGTATAATTTTGATTATATAAAATCAAAAAGGTTTTCCACAAACAAAACCAGTGTGGCTAACGTTAGAAGAAAACTGGGCAAAAAAAATGTTTGCAGCAAAGTTTCTCTGATAAAGGTCTCATTTCTAAGCTACACAAGGCACTGAGTCAAATTTACAAGAAAAAAAGTCATTCCCCAAATGATAAATGGTCAAAGGCTATGAATAGGCAGTTTTCAAGGGAATCCAAGCTATCAATGACCATTTTTTTAAAAAATACTCCAAATAATAATAATAATTGGAAAAATACACATTAAAACAACTCTGGGGTTTCATCTCACACCCATCAGATTGGCTAAGGTGATAAAAAATGAAAATAAAAATTTCTGGAGTGGATTGGGAAAACAGAACTGTAACTTATTATTAGTGGAGTTATGAATTAGTCCATCTGTTCTGGAAAGCAATTTGGAACTACACCCAAAAAAGTTATTAAACTGTGCATACCCTTTGACCTAGCAATACTGCTACTGGGTCTATGCCCCAAAGAGAACAAAGAAACAAGAAAATGACCCAAATATATAAAAATATTTACAGCAGTTCTTTTGTAGAGGCAAAGAATTGAAAACTGAAGGGATGCCTATCAGTTGGGGAATGGCTAAACAAGTTGTGCTATGTGATCTTTTTTTTGTTTTGTTTTTGCTTTTTTTGGTGAAGCAATCAGGGTTAAGTGACTTGCCCAGGGTCACACATCTAGTGAATGTCAAGTGTCTAGGCTGGATTTGAACTCAGGTCCTCCTGACTCCGAGATTGGAGTTCTGTCTGATGTATCACCTAGCTGACCCCATGGTATGTGATCTTGATGAAATACTATTATACTGAGAGAATTGACAAAGGCGACAGTTTCAGAAAAACCTAGGAAGACTTGTATGAACTGATACAAAGTGAAGTGAGCAAAGCTCAGAGAATAATTCATATAATGACAGCTATACTGTAAAGGTAATCAACTTTGAAGACACAACTACCAACTAAAATTCCAAAGGACTCATGATGAAACATGCAGCCCACCTCCAGATGGAGAAATGATGGAGTCAGAGTGCAGATTAAAGCATAATTTCTTCTTTCTTTATTTTTTGAAAATAGCTAGTAAGAAGATATGTTTTATATGACAGTACATGTCTGTAATGGATTTTGGTTTTCTTGCCTTCTCAGTGGGTGCAGGAGAGGGAAGGAGGAAAGAAAGAATCCAGAGTCAAAGCTAAAGTAATTGAATTAAGAAATAAAAAAACAGTAAACTACTTGAGGCAGCTATGGCTGAAA